TAAAAGGTGCTCTTTAAAAAGATATATTTTATTTTCTTCATTTTTGATAGATAGTACATTTATAAATTACTAAATTCTAAAGGAATTAAAGAGTAAGCATTTTGAAGAGTCTCACTCAGGACACTTTTACCCTGACTCCTTAGCTCCAATCTTCAAAGATAATTATCAGATTGTAGCATTACCATTCCCATATACTATGCATATGCAAAGATGTGTACTCTTATTTGAACAGATCTGTGTCTTTCTCTCTTTTGAAAGTTTGGCTCCTCAGGATCCAGATATTGCTTCAAGAAGAGGCACTGGTTTTTGATGTAACCATATTTCTTTTCTCATCATTCAAACTCAACTGTAGATCAGCATGATATAAATCTCATCAATAAAAGTAATGATGGGAAATTGGAGATTTATATCAACCAAAAGATACAAAGCTCTGCCTTATCCTGCATTACAAATATTTAATTCTCTTTCAATGTGTATTTATTGCTTCCCCATTCCCAGTCTGGTCTTTGTCAGTCAGACTGTGATCTATCTTTACCATTATGTTAGGAAATGTTTCTCCTTCTCTCCTTTGTTGGAGCCTCTGTTTTTCAGGTGACCCATAACATCCATCCCTTTATACTTTTTTGGTTTAATCTCCAGTTGTGCTCTGTATATGAGAAGTTTTGTTCATTTTGTCTTTTAATCTTGGCATATCTGTAATTTTTTTTATTCTGTCATTTTCCATAATTGGTGATCTTATTGGGTATATAATTCAAGGTTGGAGACATTTTTCTTTACAAGTTTTAAAGTATTAGGACATTCAAAGTTTTCTATAAGGAATTTGATAATTATGATTCCTCAACTTTTTTCTTCTTAATATCTCTTTATAAGATCACAGAATCTTCTCTTTGCCCAGAGTTCTGAAACTTCACAGTGATACAAAACAGTATCTGTGCAGTTTTATCCATCGTACTGTGTACTTAGGATGTTCAATCAGAAAACTCATACCTTTTCCTTTTGCAATGTTTATTTTTAATTACTTATTTCATTAATGATATTGCTTACTCTACTTTATGTTTCTATCTAAAACTTAGATTTTTTTAAGGTTGTATTTCCAGTAGACCGTCTAATTTTTTTGTCATTTGTCTCCTGATTTTCAGGTGTTCATTATTGATCCATTTTGTGGGGTCTACATTAGCCTAAGTTTTTAATTGCTTATGAAGTTATTATTTGAATGTTAGTTTATAGTTCTTAAAAAAAAAATCCAGGACTTTCAAGATGGTGGAGAAGGAAGAGGGAAAGATCACCTTGCTTCCTGCAAATACATCGTAAATACATCTGCATATGGAACAGCTCCTACAGAACACCTTCTGAACACTGACAGAAGACTTCAGACTTCCAAAAAGGCAAGTTCATTTTCACAGAATGAGGTACAGCAAAACATAAAAAAATAAGGAGACGAAGGATTTGGGATCGGGACCTGTGTTTCGGGGTTTGAACTCTGAAGGAGGAAAAGGTTTTAAACAGTCAGAAACAACTTCATGGGCAGGGACAGGGTTAGATTTATAATCTCAGAGGACAGCACAGTGACAGATGCTCAGAAGGCAAAATGAAGAAAATTCAGCAAAGGGGTCATTGCCAACCAACACTTCCCAACCTAGTCACTGTTTGCATGCCTACTTCAGTGGGTGCTGAGGCTCAAGCTTCGGGGCCAGACCCCAGGGAGAGGAGTTGGGTTGACCACCATGAAGAGACTCTGAAAGGGCTAGTATGAAAGAACTGAGGGAGTCCAGGGAAAATCCTGGGCCTGCCAGAAAGGCAAGAGATCTCTGCTGCAAGGTCCCTCCCAGCCTGCTCTCACAAACTGCACGCAGGAGCCTGGCTTTCTGAGTGCCAGAGGTGGGGCAAACCGTGGCTGTGGACTGCTACTCCAGAGGTAGACACACCAAAGCCTCTGTGCATGCCAGAGGCAAGGGAGAAAATGCCGCCGCGGTCCTGACCCCAAAGGTAGCAGCTACTACCAAACCACAAGCAGGTACCAGGTCACTGCCCACACTTTCCAAGGAGGCTGGGCAGCATGACTCTGCCGAGGGACACATGATCTGGGGCCAGCACCCCTCTCCCCACTCCGAGGGAGTTGAAAACCTGCCTCACACTGTAGCAACTCACTGCAGGCCTCAGCCACATTGCCACTCTCCATAGATCCCAATGGCGACTAGTGTACCCCTCCCTCTCCCCAGCCTGACACGGTAAGTGAGCCCCAGTAAGCTACTAATATTGTCCTCTCTTGTCTGGGAGTGGTGGGGGGAACAGACACTGGTGGGTGGCCTACAAGAAAAGGCAGGCCCAAACCAAAACTTAGCACCAGGAGCTGTGTGATGAAAGAGGCATGCATGCAAGCTCAGTTGTGTCCAACACTTTGTGAATCCATGGACTGTTGCCTGCCAGGCTCCTCTGTCCATGGGATTCCCCAGCAAAGAATGCTAGAGTGGGTTGCCATTTCCTCCTCTAGGGGATATTTCTGACACATGAATTGAACTAGTGTCTCCTGCATTGGCAGGCAGATTGTTTACCTCTGAGCCACTTGGGAGGAAGTGAATTTGCTCCCACAGTCAGACATGTATATTAAGTAGCTACAGTTGTGTCTGACTTTTTGCCACCCTATGGACTGTAGCCCACCAGGCTCTTCTGTCCATGGGATTCTCCTGGCAAGAATGTTGGAGTGGGTTGCCATGACCTCATCCATCTTGAAGACCCAGGGATAGAACTTGCAACTCTTACATCACCTGCATTGGTAAGCAGATCCTTTACCACTAGTGCCACCTGGGAAGCCCACAGTAGATTTATTCCTAGATTTTTTTTTTTTTAAGGACTCTCCATACTGTTCTCCATAATGGTTATATCAGTTAACATTCCCATCAATAGTGCAAGGGAATTCCCTTTTCTCCACATCCTCTCTAGCATTTATTGTTTGTAGACTTTTTTGATGATGGTCATTCTGATTGGTGTGACATTATACTTCACTGAAGTTTTCATTTGTATTTCTCTGATATTTAGTAAAATTGATCATCTTTTCATGTGTTTATTGTCCATCTGAATCTCTTCTTTGGAGAAATGTCTATCTAGGTCTTCTGCTCATTTTTTAATTGGGATGTTTGTTTTTTTCTGATTTTGAGCTGTATGAGCTGTTTATATATTTTGGAGACCAATCCCAGTCAGCTACTTTATTTCCAATTGTTTTCAGCCATTCTGAAGGCTGTCTTTTAACCTTGTTTATAGTTTCTTTTACATTGCAAAAACCTTTAAGATCAATAAGGTCCAATTTGTTTATTTCTGTTTTCATCTTTACTCTAGGAGGTGAGTCAGAAAGGATCTTGCTGCAATTTATGTAAAAGAGTGTATTACCCATGTCTTCCTCTAAGAGCTTTATATATAGTTTCTGGTTTTACATTTAAGTCTTTAATCTGTTTTGAGTTTATTTTTGTGTATGGTGTTAAGAAGTGTTCTAGTCTCATTCTTTTACATGTAGTTGTACAGTTTTCTTAGCACAAATTGTTGAAAAGCCTATCTTTTCTTCATTATATATTCTTGCTTCCTTTGCCAAAAATAAGATTACCATAGGTGTGGGGGTTTATCTCTGGGCTTTCTATATAGTTCTGTTGGCCTATATTTCTGTTTTGGTGCCAGCTCCAAACTGTCTTGATGACTGTAGCTTTGTAGTATAGTCTGAAGTAATGAAGGTTGATTCTTTCAGCTCCATCTTTCTCAAGATTGCTTTTTTTATTCAGGGTCTTTTGTGTTTCCATGGGAATTGTAAAATATTTGTTCTAATTCTGTGGAAAATGCCATTGGTGTTTGATAATGATTAGTAGTTTGATAGGCTTTCCATTCACGCTTGGTTTTTCTTGATTGGATTGACTATACAGGTAGAAACTAACCTGCAAATTGGAAGCTCTGTGCATTTGGTTTGTGGGAGAATGAATTTCTGCCTTTGAAATAAACTGTAGGCTTTGAAATTCACTAATATGTTAATGTATTTATTTATTTATTTTAATTTTTTTTGTTTAGACTGTCCCCTCTGTTCAGTGTTTAAGGGGGAAATGTTGACCTACTAGTGTTCCCGTCTAGTTTCAGAAGTATCCTGAAGTCTTGGTGATTCATTTATACATATAATCACTCACTCCTCTGTTTCTGGCATGATACTAAGGTTCTCATCTGTGCCTGGCTCCCCAAGCCAGCCTCTCCTTTCTTTTATATTCAGTGAAGATAAATCTTCATATTCCTCTGAGGGTAAGGAAGAGACCTGGAAATGTAATGAATAGCTTTACCCAATCCTTCTTTTCATCACCTTCTCAATTTCACTTTCAGAGAAATTATGTGCTTCCAATGCCTGAACTGTCCAAAGAAACTGTAAAAACACCAGAGCGTTTATCAGCTATTTCTACTGTTGGCTTAATATTTGACCTCTTCAAGTCTTCTCAAGTAGGTGCAATTCTATATCTCCATTTGTTTTACAACTTTCAGAATGACAGCTATATACATTTCTCTTATTCTCCTGGGTGTGTGTGTGTGTGTATGTATATATATCTTTTAAAAAAAAAGTGAAAAATAAATGTGGGCATAATCTATTCAATCTAACATTTAAATTAGAGTCTTTCAATTTTTTTTACCAACTATAATATTACTTTCAATAAATTATTTCTTGTAAAAAGTACAGTAATGATAGACAATTAAAATGTTGACCTACTAGTGTTCCCGTCTAGTTTCAGAAGTATCCTGAAGTCTTGGTGATTCATTTATACATATAATCACTCACTCCTCTGTTTCTGGCATGATACTAAGGTTCTCATCTGTGCCTGGCTCCCCAAGCCAGCCTCTCCTTTCTTTTATATTCAGTGAAGATAAGTCTTCATATTCCTCTGAGGGTAAGGAAGAGACCTGGAAATGTAATGAATAGCTTTACCCAATCCTTCTTTTCATCACCTTCTCAATTTCACTTTCAGAGAAATTATGTGCTTCCAATGCCTGAACTGTCCAAAGAAACTGTAAAAACACCAGAGCGTTTATCAGCTATTTCTACTGTTGGCTTAATATTTGACCTCTTCAAGTCTTCTCAAGTAGGTGCAATTCTATACCTCCATTTGTTTTACAACTTTCAGAATGAGAGCTATATACATTTCTCTTATTCTCCTGGGGGTGTGTGTGTGTGTGTGTGTGTGTATATATATATATATATATATCTTTTAAAAAAGAAGTGAAAAATAAATGTGAGCATAATCTATTCAATCTAACATTTAAATTGGAGTCTTTCAATTTTTTTTACCAACTATAATATTACTTTCAATAAATTATTTCTTGTAAAAAGTACAGTAATGATAGACAATTAAAATTACATTTCACCCACATTAAAATTGTTTCTTAAAATTTAATCTTAAGAGTAAATGCATTTTTTAGTCTTGGAACTTCCATTGTTTTATAGCTTTTTATGTCTCTGATGAGATGTTTATCTTTACCTTCATGTACTTGAGAATAGTTATAAAAGTTGCTCTAAATTTCTCATCTGATAATTTCAACATGTGTGTTGTTTAGGGCCACTGCCATTGATTGTCTGTTTTTCTTGAAAATTAGTTACAGTTTCTTTGGATTGCATACTAGGCATTGAGATAATGTGTCGACTCCATACTACAATCTGTTCTGTACCTCTAGAGACCCAAGCTGAAAATTCTGTCTCCCTGTTAGTGGGTAGCAGCTAGAAATTTAATTCCCTTTGTTTAAGTCTAGCTTTTTGGTGCTTAACCTATAAATGTGTGGTTAGAGTCAGCCAGGGAATTTGGCTCAGACAGTAAAGAATCCGCTTGCAATGTGGGAGACCTGGGTTAGATCTCTGGGTTGGGAAGATCCTCTGGAGAAGGGAACGGCTACACACTCCAGTATTCTGGCTTGGAAGAGGAGTCCGGCAAGGCTACAGTCCAGGGGTTACATTATTGGGTTTCTCCGGAAGCTTAATTGGTAAAGAATCTGCCTGCAATGCAGGAGACCCCGGTTTGATTCCTGGGTTGGGAAGATCCACTGGAGAAGGGATAAGCAACCCAGTCCAATATTTTTGGGACTTCACTGGTGGCTCAGCTGGTAAAGAATCTGCCTATGATGCGGGAGACCTGGGTTTGATCCCTGGTTTGGGGAGATCCCCTGGAGACGGGGAAGACTACCCACTCCAGTATTCGGGCCTGGAGAATTCCATAGACTTTATAGTCCATGGGGTCGCAAAGAGTCGGACAGGACTGAGCCACTTTCACTTTCACTTATACAAGAGTTTGGCCCTGTGCCTCTCTTGCTTTCTCTGAGCTTCTAAAGACTTTTTGCTTCAATTTATGTTGATCTGTAGATTCTTCAAACTCTATCCTCTAATCTTTAAGCCAATAAGCTTGCAGATTTTCCATTAGAATTTTAGCGACCCTACCTGAGACAGACTGAGGCAAGCCACAGGCTAAAACTAGTGAAAGACAGTAAAATCACCAGTGTTAGTCCATCCTTCCAAGTTTCAACTTCCGATCAGTATGTGACTATTTTTGTCTGTACTCCAATGCCTTATTTCACTCTGTATTGAAGTTTCTCTGAGGCTTGCTAATCTCCAGTGTTCTATTTTTTTTAATCTAGATAAAAGATGCAAAGTTTTTTATCCTCTTTATTCTTATAAAGAGGATACATATTCCTATTTATGAGAAATGTATGCTTTATACTCTATGGGGCATTAATTTTGCAAAATGCATGAGTACACAAAATCTAAAATTAAAAGATAATTTTCTTTATCATTTAAATTCTGATGGAAAAGATACAGTAGAAAGAAGCAAGTAAAGGGCTGGAGAGAGAAGTTACATTGCTGATAGAGACGTTCTTAGGAGCAGAATGGAAATACTATATTGAAATTTTTATCTTAGAGAAAGACACTTTCTCTGTATAACAGATGAGACAAAGAGGAGAATAGGTACTGTTTGCAATTATTGATAAACCTCAAAAACTGTGTAAGGAATGAGGAAATGTAGGAAAATGTTGAGATGATAGAAGGAGAAAAGAAGTGAAGGACACAGGAGGATAATTCTATGTAACAATGGATATGAGGCAGGAGGTAAGATGGACCCCTTATCTCCTAGGGAAAACAACTTAAGTTTACTCCCTGTGAACAGAAAGTCCAAAATATCAATAGCAGTATAATTGAAGCAAGTACCTAGTCCCTGCCCAGACCAAAGATTAGAGACCACATATTTCTCACTCTCGAAGCCAAGGAAGCCTTCCCAACTGGAAAATTCCTTGCAGATCAAAAGGGGAGGGGTACCACCCCATAGTAAGTGATGTCAACTCCCCATAGGCCTCTTCAGTGAAATCTATCTAGACTGAAAGTTTGTGTGCATATGCATGGAAGGATCCTGAGATATATCAAATGCAGACTCAGAACCAGGCAGATCAAAGTGGTCAAAAGAAATCCAGAACAAATGCCCCATATAAGTGATTTAAAATATCACAAGGGCATGCCTTTCTCTCTGAGTCCACCCGTGTGTCTATCCATATAATACTGTACTCTTTTTCCCCTAATAAACACCTTACTTCTTTCTGTCTTTGTGGGAATCCTTTTCTGTGAAGCTGAAGAGCCAGGGCCTTGTCACTGACCACCGGTCTATTGGGTAGTATTTGACTCTCACTGCTGTGACCTCAGTCTCTGACCTTGCTGAAACCTTGCTGAAAACCTTGCTTCAAGCAGCAGCAGGCTGAGGCCACCCTAAGGTCAGAGATGTTCTAAAGGTAAGTTATCTGGAAAGATTGTTGGTGGGGATTAGGATTTCTGATTTAATATTTGATTGTTGAGAGAATTTCTGGCAACTCTTAGGACATGATACAAAGAGAAAAACACTGGTGGTGCAGAGAGGGAAGGTCAATAGAGCTTATGCCAAAGTAAAGAAAAGCCAGGATGTCAGATAAGTTTTGAAATAATCTAAGATAAAGACAAATGTTATGAAATTGGATACTGAAAGCCAGGTAGGCTGTATCTTTATAAATCTGGTAAACAGGAAATCTCTGTTTGTTTGTTTCATAACAAGTTAAGGGAGAGAGTAATCTGAGTTTCAAACAATAAAAAGAAGGGGGAAATAGTCTGAACAAGAAGACATTGATTCCATATCCTGAGTCTAAGGTACAGAACACATGAGAAAAAAATAGCTTTGTCTTTCAAAGGGTACAGAAAAAGTAGTCATGTTAGAGTCTAGTTCAGGCCAAGATATAGAGTATTTATCTATGAAAGAGTTTAAAATGTTAGAGGGTTAACTCATAGTGAAGAAGATATGTTAGAAGACACATTTTAAAATGATTTAGGGGAAAGGTGAGGAGTAAGAGAAGAGAAAGCTGACATCTATAAACTTTGGCCAGACCATTGGTGCATTGCCCTCTTCATCATGTATTGTAAGAGAGTGGATGCTTTTTTTATGAGTATATGCAAATAAAATGACTTAAATTTGTCTTACAAGAAGGCTTACAGGCACAAAAATTTTCATATCTCACAAGCAAGCAAACAAATATATCCAAAAAGATTCTCTCAAATTGTAAAGACTAATATTTTTCATTTAAGACTGATACAGTCTGAAACCTATAAAGATAAAATCTTTTAAAATGCAGGTCCTCTATTAGAAAGGAAGGAAAAGCTTTGGCAGTCTAGTGTACATGCAACTGGAAGCACTTCTTGGTGATAAAACAGTGTCATCTAGTGAGAGTTTTAGGTGAGAAAATTCCATGCCTAAAGAGGTCTATTTACAGGATTCAAATTTCTAGAATTTAAAAAATTCCATTATCACTTCAATGATATGTAAATGAGAGTGGATGATTTAGATGAGCTTCTCATACTGAAAAAGACACAAAGATTCAGAAAATCAGGAAACACCTTACTTAGTACCATAAATGGTATATTATTAGGTAGTCCACATACAAATTTTGAAAATTCTGTATTTAAAGATTCATTCCTTTGTATTCTGGAAGCATAGAGGTAGTTCATAGTTTTTCATTTATTTGTTTGGTGTTTTGTTCTGTTTTTTATTTCTCTCTGAGGAAAAAAATTGTTTCTTGAACCATTTAAATCATAAATATTCTATTAGTTTAAGTTTTCTTGTTCAAATGTTGATTGACAACTGTTAGGGCGAAATAGATATGGTTGCAGCAGAATGGCACTCATTTTGGAAGTGTTGTTAGGTTTTACAAAGAAATGTTGGAGGTGTAAAAGGGGATCATCACAGCTTGACTTTCCTGTTCAAACATATTCATTAACTGAGGTTGCCTCCATCCTCAGGTTAAGTGTACAAGCCTTTTAGAAACCACTATTAACAGTATTCAAATTCAATACTGTCAATATTTTGACAGCATTCTTTGAGATTTTTCTCCCCCTGGGAATATCAAAACTTCTTTCACAAATTACTTTGAAACAAAATCCAGAAAATACCTTAGAAATTTGGAAGTTATTTAGGGTAGAATTTTCACACAGTGTTGAGAAATCCACTAGAAAGCACACTTGCAAGAAGTGAATAGGCAAATGGTATATGTTTGGCCCTTAGTGAAGTGGGTCCATAAGGGAACAAGCAGGTGATTCTTTTTGTCAGAATAGTACTGCCATATACTAGCAATTCAATGGCATCTCTTTTGTGTTAAGTTCTGGAGACAGTTCCACACGGAACACATTTTTGAGATGTTAGCAGTTTTCACTGTTGTTATTGTTACATTGTCTTTCATACCAATGACTCAGCTCTATTATGAGTTCTCTTCTTAATCTAGATTGGAATTTCAAGCATTTATTCAATTCCAAGGTATTACTGTAACTGAATAAAATGAGCCCAAACATTAAGTCCTTGATTCTAACAGTAAATGAAAATTATCACTAAAGCATGAAATACTACATCAGTTAACTAATAATTCAATTGAGCTTATTTAGAAAGTCACTTAATAGCATTTATTTACAATAAATATAATCTGATTTTAAATAAATTTAATAATTGCATACTAAAATGTTATTAAGACTATTGGCCTTCTAACGTGGATCATTAGATACAATTGAATGCAGTAAATGTCAGTTCTTAGTTGGAAA